ATACCTTTCGAGACACACAGAATGATGGTGAGAATTTCCCTAAAACCCCACCCCCTATGTCTACTCCATCTACTGGAATGTTGGATTCATCTGACACAGTTTTCCCCCCACAGACCAGTGATGTACCCCTCAACGATGTGGCAAGTGCCATCACAGCACTGGCAGATGTGCTCACACACCGGGAGGAGAAACTGCCTAAGAAAGAACCAGAGGTCTTCAAAGGCAGTGTATTCGACTTCCCCGTGTGGATGAATTCCTTTTCCGTCCTGGTAGAGCAGCGCTACACATCACCAATCGACCGCCTATACTATTTAGGCAGATACACGTCTGGTGAGGCCCGAGAGTGTATCCAAGGACTTCTCGCCTAGAACAGTAAGAAGGCATGCTAGAAAGTGAAGAAACTCTTGACTGAGCGGTACGGCAACAAGTTGCTAGCTGCAAGCACCTATCGTGAGAAAATAAGCAAATGGCCGACCGTGAAGCAAGACGACGGAAAAGGACAGCCGAGCACAAGAAAATTATAGAGAAGCTACCGAGGCAGGTGCAGGGTCGTTGGCTTCGTTTCGTCGACCAGTGCATGTATGGCCAGAAGGATGCAGAGGAAGGTGACTACTAGCCTTGGTCAATGCTCTCGTCGTTATTCGTCCCGTACGCGGTCAATCGTCGGCATATATCCTCACGCGCTTTGCACATGCGTGTAAAAATACAGCGCGAACAGCGACCTCACGCGGCCACTATTTTTATGCAAATCAGTTGGAGACGATGTCGTCTCCAACTGATTTGCATAAAAATAGTGGCCGCGTGAGGTCGCTGTTCGCGCTGTATTTTTACACGCATGTGCAAAGCGCGTGAGGATATATGCCGACGATTGACCGCGTACGGGACGAATAACGACGAGAGCATTGACCAAGGTTAGGTGACTACCCGCCCTTTGCTGAGCTGTGCGAATTCATCGCAAAGGAGGCTCGCATTGCCTGTAGCCCCTTTCACCAAAAACCGATGGACGAGAAGCGGGAGACAACATTTGTCAAACCTACCAAGTCGGGAACAGCCACGACATTTGCAAACAATGCAAACAAGGCATCAACATGTCCCCTCTGCAAGAGCCAACATCAACTCGATTCCTGTAGCAGTTTTGCAGCCATGAGCCTTAGTGAAAGGCATGACCTCATCAAGAAGAGCGGCCTTTGCTTTGGATGCTTCAAATGGGGTCACAGAAGTCGCAAGTGCCGCCACAAGAAGCAGTGTGCAGTCTGTGGGCGCTCCCACCATACTTTGCTGCACGACTTCTCCAAGTCCACTCCAGATGTGCAGACCAAAGATGACACCGATGACAAAGAAGTGGTTGTTGTTCAATCTACCACACATCGAGTGCAGACACTTGACGTCGGAGAAAATTGCTCACACACTCTCATCGTTCCCGTTGTCGTTCATCACATCAAAGAACCCTCTGCGAAGGTGATAGTATACGCCCTGTTAGATGAACATTCCGATTCTTGCTTCGTCTCAGACTGGACACTAGAAAGGCTCGGAATCGATGGAGAGGCAGTCCAGCTGAGTCTGTCTACGATATTAGCGAAGGGCACTATATCATCCAGAAAGGTGCATGGCCTAACTGTCAAGGGATTGTCCGAGGACACCGAGATACAATTACCAGGCGCCTACTCCAGAGAATCTATCAATGCAAACCGTGAGCAGATTCCGAAGTTGGACACCGTGAAGGAGTGGCCTCACTTGAAATGAGTCGCCAACCTGCTACCTCCCTACCTGAGTGAAACCGAGATCGGACTTTTGATTGGCTGCAATGCAACTTGCGCAATCAAGCCGAGAGATGTCATCCATGGAGAGGAAGATGCCCTATATGCAGTCAGAACAGCCCTTGGATGGGGAGTGATAGGAATGATGCGTCATGACAACAGCGGCAACAATATTTGCAGAATTTCGAATGCATCAAAGGAGCAACAAGGCCACTTCGCCTTTCGCACCCAGGTGAAAGAAGTCAGCCCCCTCCAGGTCACAAAAATGTTCGAAATGGACTTCATCGAGAAAGACACTGAAGAAATGGTTTCCCGCGATGACCGAAAGTTCATGCAGAAGATGAAGGATGGTATCCACAGACGTGATGATGGCCACTTTGAGATGCCCCTCCCACTCAAAACAGATGTCCAGCTCCCCAACAACAAGCCAGTAGCTCTGAAGCGGCTCAACAAGCAAAAAATGAAGATGTTGAGCAACCAAAAATATCGAGATACTTACAAGACCTTCATGGAAAATATCATCGAAAAGGGCTACGCAGAGAAGGTTCCAGACGAAGAACTTGACCTGGACAACAATGCCGTGTGGTACATACCTCATCACGGGGTATACCATCCCAAGAAACCAAACAAGATAAGAGTTGTCTTCGACTGCAGTGCTGAATACGAGGGTAAAGTGTTGAATCGACACCTACTGCAGGGACCCGATATGACCAACAATCTTGTTGGGGTTCTTTGCCGATTTCGGAAGGACCACGTCGCCTTCACCTGTGACATCGAAGGCATGTTTTATCAAGTTGGCGTCAATGAGAAAGATCGCAACTACCTGAGATTCTTGTGGTGGCCGGGAGGTGATATGAACCGGTCCCCAAATGAATATCAAATCACAGTTCACTTGTTTGGTGCTACATTTTTTGTTTTGGGCTTTATTTACGAGTCGGCCATATTAAATTGAAAGTGAGGTAAAACTTCATTTTTGGAATTAGCGAAGAGAAATGAAGGCAATGACATAAAGATAATGACAAAATTAATGCCAGAATTTACATAAATGGCATTTTCTTTATAGCAACCCAAATCGCTTTTTTCATGATTGCTTAAGTATCTAAAAGAAAAAACTCCCAGCTTTAATATAATACCCAAAAATATAAAAATCCACCGATCTCTTTTTTTTTAAACGGCAAATGTTTTAGGGTTGCAATTTTTGGGTCACCCTGTATTTTAAAAGATATATAAATTGAAACAATACTATTATCGTTCCGGTGTTATGGAATAACTGGTGGTCTCACCTTGAAACTGCTGTGCCAGATCAAGTCGTCCAGCCTTCTCCAAGGCCCCGGCTAAGATGCGTTTATCCAACCATCCACACCGCTGCTTCCACTGGACAAGCATCGTAAGGATCTGATTACTGACGTCATATCTGTTATCTTCTTTAATCTTGAACAGGTCCGCATTAGTGCATTCTAACTCTGTTGCCAGTGCCTCCCACTCATATCCCAATCTCGAGGCAAGCCAACGGAAGCGTTTTTCGTCGTCAATTTCCGACTGTAAAAGAAATAAAAGAAACAAACATAATTTGAAACAAAGTCACGCAATTGACGACAGGAAACATCGCTATAGTGCCTGAGTTAATGGAGAAAAATGAAACATCCGAACAGATCAAAATAGTGGACAAACCGTCCAATTTCCTTCGTCGTGATTCACTAATTCACAATGGAGTATTCTATCTTTCCTTAGTATCGACCAATATAAACTGTCAAGCAGGATACTCACGGCAAGCCAAGAACAATCTTCAGTCATTCCCTTCGTTATGAAACCATAATCTGGCGGGTTTTCTGGGGTAGAAGCAATATGAAACAGTTTTAGTCTCTTTTGCAATGATATGAGACTATTTTGTTACTCCGGCCACTATTCTTTATAATCATAAAGGGTAGTAATTACGGCAAGATTACGGCCATTATTCGTTGTGGGTTCCGCTTTTTTATTTATTATTATTTTTTTTTATGAGGGGGATAATTTTCCAGACCTTATTTATTTCATTACTCATTGTGTTCTTATCACCACTGGGCAATGAAATTCCCATCATAGCAACATGTCCACAGATTGATAATTTATAGAAAATATACGTTGGTTTAACATTGTGGCAGTGTTAGAATTCCTTCCATCGTGGAGTGAAAAACTGCAGCCAATTCGTAGCACATCCCGATGCAGCTGACTCCGCAGACATTCAAACCAATCATTGTATTTGTTGTTCTATTTTGTTTTCTTTAAAAAGTTGAATCAACTTTAGGCTGTACCGAAATAACTAAGACACAAGTTCGAAAGTGACTTGATACCTGCATTAACTACAGTTATTAAAAGTGGTCTTGTCTGGACGTCACGGGGAGTTAGTGGGGCTTATCAAACAATGTGACGGTTTACAATTAACAGAAGCCTCCATTTTTGTTTTTGAAATTTTGACAAGTTTTAGCATTGGCAGTCCTCAAAATGCACATCTGTAAGTGGCATTCATGGACTAGCTTTAAGTGAAGTTTCGACGTTTTTTGTTGTCTCTGAAGAGGCATGATACAACTGAAAGCGATCACACTCTAAACTGTCATTGGTCCAATCCTATCGGAAATCAGGGTTCTACTTGGCTTGACACTTTTCCGAGTCGAAATGACACTTTTGGTCAGGTTTCAGGACATAACAACGCGCCGCAAAAGGTTCAAAGAAAAGTCCTTTTGACCCAAAACGTGTCTGCATACCTGCCCCTTGCAGCTCCTTTCTAATTTTTTTCACAATGTGCTCATCAAGAGATTCCAGCAGACGCTTCACAGCCGTCCTGTCTTGGACGCCACGTGCCCTCTGACGTCCAAAGAAGACCTTTAAGGAATCCTGTGCTTGCATCGAGCTGTGGCCGACATCTGCTAGCCCCACCACCACTCTGGCCGTGTCTCGTTGTTGAGAGAGAGTGCGTACCAACTCCTCTGATAACCCTCCATAATCGCCGTCCGACAACTCTCGCTTCTTGATCTTGGGAACTCGAACGCCTATCATCGCCTCCTAAAAGACAATCAATAAACACACAAGTGTGAGGCCATATCAGTCCATACACTTAAGAACCTATTGTGTTTTTTTAACTTTTGAATACATATAAACGCTGTTTTCGCAAACGTTTATGGACATTGTAGCGCGTTAAGGGGCTCAATTGCATCGAGCTGTGGTCGACATCTGCTAGCCCCACCACCGCTCTGGCCGTGTCTCGTTGTTGAGAGAGAGTGCGTACCAACTCCTCCGATAAGCCTCCATAATCGCCGTCCGACAACTCTCGCTTCTTGGGAACTCGAACGCCTTTCATTGCCTCCTAAAAAGACAATCAATAAACATACAAGTGTGAGGCCATATCAATCCATATACTTTAAAACCTCTTGTGTTTTTTAACTTTTGAATACATATAAACGCTGTTTTTGCAAACATGTATGGACATTGTAGCGCGTTAAGAGGCTCAATGTGGTAGCTTTTACGGTATACTTGCTGCTTCTCTGTTGTTTTCTAACACCATGTTTAACACGAACGTATACACAATAAAACATAGGCCCGACATATTAAAAAAGATTGCAGAGAGAAAAAAAGAACAACGGGAAAGACTTTAGTCAGAAGTCTTCCACCAAAATGTCTGACTTTACTTTTGCCATAAAAGAAAAACATCTTTTTTACACATACGTGCATAAACTCACCTTACATGATGGGCAGATTTCGTGGGCTGCATCCTAAAACAAAACCAAATAATTAAATTGAGGATTCAAGGAGTGAAACATTATTAAACCTTTTTTCTATTCCCATGTGAAGGCGAACATCAATAATCATGAAAATGAAAGTCACGCATCGCAAAGATAACAAGGGCTCATCTTTCAAATAAAACTTATGTGCAAATTGTGGAGTATTTTTTTGAGAAAAGTAAAGTTTATCTTAACGACGTATTCTCTATTTCTCCTGAAACATGGCAATTTTAATTTCCATGTAAGCTTATGAAAATAGTTCAAAAATAATATCCAAAAATATCGACCGGCATCCGATGTATCGCTCGATAATAGTTCGAAAATAAGTCTCGTTTTGTTGCGCATTTAACTAAACTTATTACTGTTATCAGTTCGACTTCCGAAAACTACCAAATATCTAACGAATTACAAGCCAATTTTTCAAAAGCCAATATCTCTCCAAACTTTTAAACTTACTTGTCGGCAACTGTAGCAAGGACTCTGCTCGTCTCTCTCTCGTTTCGATTCTTTCACCTATTTTAAAATGAATTTGTGAAAATAAATACAGGTTTTTTTTATTAGGGGACATGTCAACTTCACAATCATTTGTTGGTAAGCCAGAGAAGCTAAACACATCGATTACCAGATGCTCACCAGTGTCATGTGGACTTAAACTATATTTGGGGGAGACTAAACGTCCTTAATACCGGCAGCTGAGAAGCTGAATTGCAAGGGCCCGGCTATATACACGTACAATGGGGACGAGCCGTCGAGCCGAAGGCATGTGAAGGCGCCTTAGGCATGTGAAGGCGCATCACGGAGCACAGCAAGAAATCGCTAAGTGTTGATCTTTGCTTTACATCTATGTTGATATACCAAAAGGGGGTATAAGCCCCGGATAAAGTTATTTCGGAACTGTTAACATGCAATTTTAATTTTTTTTTCGGTTTCAGCAGAAAAATACCACGGTATGCATTGACAAGTGGCTTTAGATTAAAATTAAGTAAAGTTCTATCTAGAAACAAGTGGGAGCACAGTGGAAGCACTCAGAATAATGTTTAAAAATTACATTACAAAAAGGTTTTTTTTTCAATGAAAATTTCCCTCAAGACATACCTTTGGTGGTATAATGATGAAGTGAGCTCTGTCTCCATTTGAAGCTTCTCCCGTTTCAGTGCTACTCTGGAAAATGGAACTTTCGCAAGAAGGACCTTTGCAAGATGAAGCTTCGTTGACATTTTGGCAATCAAGGTGAAAGGTCACAAAGTCCGCTGGCAACTTCCAGATTCTTTCGATTGGTATAGTCTGTTTCTAATATGCAGAAATGTATCAATTTTAAAATAAAGTTTCCCTTTTGTTGTTTATTTAATAAAAATAAATTTTTAAAATAACAATGGCGATACGTTGTGTAAGCACACGTTGTGTTCGGGAATTGAAATTCAATAGTGAATTCAACCATAAAAACCATTCCTCTTCCGACATTTGCTACCTGAATTTGCAAAAACCTTCACGCCAGCTCTGGTATGGTCTTTTGTCTTTGTATCATTCTCACCTTCATGAATTGTGAACACTGGAGGTTGGCGGTTGTTGTGTGATTAAATGTAAAAGCTGACCCGAATATGATGATTCCACTGTCAAATAGGCTACAGTCTTCAAAATGATAACTTTACAATGAGTCAATCATTTGTATAGATGGCATGCCACATGTAATACAATATACTCCCATGGGCGTCGCCAGGATTTTTTCTAGAGGGGGGCAAAACATTTTTTTGCCAAAAAATGCTTGTATTTCTCAACACATTCTCAATTTAGTAGTTTTAAAGGGGGGCAGGGACATTTTGCCCCCCCCCAACTCATTAAATTTACACCACTTTGTCTTCGCGCCTCTTTTTCTTTTCTTTTCTTTTCTTTTCTTTTTTTTTTTTTTTCCTTTTTTTTTTTTTTTTTTGCTTTTCCAGGGGGGGGGGGGGGGGGGGGCAAGTGCCCCCCTTGCCCCCCCCTCGCGACGCCCATGTATACTCCATCTTAAAGAAAAAATACAACATTTGCAAACATCGAAAATAAAACTACCAAGTTGTACCTTACTAGGATGAAATACCTTACTAGAATGTTGGTAAATGACAGTCTAAAGCATCCTGTAAAATTAGGGCACCTGGTGTGAAGTCATTTTCAAGAAAAAATTGTACTTTTGTATACATTTCCAACGGTGGTCGGCCGACCACCATTGTTTTTCGACTACTGATCCAAATTTACCGGTTTTTTTTCAGTCCAAATTTTGTTTGCTATTGGTTCTATGTTCATGAACTGGTGCAAGCCAGCTAGACTGTTTTCCTTACCTTACAATTACCGGCATTTTTGATCCATTTCATCTTTAGTGGAATCAGGGAACCAGACTACTTGAACATTTTAGTTTTTCTTGGTTTTCCAGCAGTTTCGAACACAAAACTTCAAACATGTCAGTGTAACAATATTCGATCTATTATACTAACCCCCAAATAGTTCATTTCTGAAAATTACAGCAAAAGCCAATAATGTACTTTCCCTTTAAAGGACATGGTTTGGTCACAAATGCTCTTCGCGACAATTGAGATTATTCTGAATCCATGCAACACAGGCAAAGTATCTGGAGTGGTTCGCCTGCGTCTCTATCTTGTTAAACTTCGGTACTGTACGATTTGCCTCAAACAAAGAGTAAGCCATGATAGGAAAATTGACGACGTTGTTCCAGGCCAAACCTCAATAAATGGGTAGTGTTATGCTTGAAATGAACTGCCTGAATTTTGTTTTGTATAAACCAGTTATTTTTACCTGACGCCATTAGTCAGTGGGCTTGTGGTGGCCCATGAGCAATTTTGGGTACATTCTTTGAAACTCTCAGGATCACTAGAGGATACCTCACGAAGTTCAAAACCACTTGATGCCATTTTTTTCTGACCCTTTTGTGGGCGTGGCCATGATTTTAAAAAGTGGGGGGCATCGCGCGTAATTTTTTTTTTTTTAATTTACTTTTCTTTTTCGCATTTGCACAGTTCACCCAAGTGCTACATCACAAGAAAAACAAAATCCACAATTTTGCCTCTTTTTTTTTTGGGGGGGGGCAACATTTTAAAAAGTGGGGGTCACATGTCGCTAACAGAAAATCGACCTGTAAAATGCAATCTTGATGTTTTTTTTTGTGTTTGTTTTGTTTTTGTTTCAATCCATTATAATTTGGCGAGGAAAAAACGTTTACATGTCAACTAATAAATTCTTTGGCTCCCATTTGGGGGGCGTGTCACACTTTTTTTCATAAAAAGGGGGCATACGTGTATTCCAAAAGGAAGCTTGTGAGAGCCCATATGGATTATTGCACATTCTTTCAAACTCTCACAAACACCTATGCCTCCTATAGATGGCATGCCACATGTAATAGAATATACTCCATCTTAAAGGAAAAATACAACATTTGCAAACATCGAAAATAAAACTACCAAGTTGTACCTTACTAGGATGAAATACCTTACTAGAATGTTGGTAAATGACAGTCTAAAGCATCCTGTAAATTAGGGCACCTGGTGTGAAGTCATTTTCAAGAAAAAATTGTACTTTTGTATACATTTCCAACGGTGGTCGGCCGACCACCATTGTTTTTCAACTACTGATCCAAATTTACCGGTTTTTTTTCAGTCCAAATTTTGTTTGCTATTGGTTCTATGTTCATGAACTGGTGCAAGCCAGCTAGACTGTTTTCCTTACCTTACAATTTCCGGCATTTTGATCCATTTCATCTTTAGTGGAATCAGGGAACCAGACTACTTGAACATTTTAGTTTTTCTTGGTTTTCCAGCAGTTTCGAACACAAAACTTCAAACATGTCAGTGTAACAATATTCGATCTATTATACTAACCCCCAAATAGTTCATTTCTGAAAATTACAGCAAAAGCCAATAATGTACTTTCCCTTTAAAGGACATGGTTTGGTCACAAATGCTCTTCGTGACAATTGAGATTATTCTTAATCCATGCAACACAGGCAAACCTCAATAAACGGGTAGTGTTATGCTTGAAATGAACTGCCTGAATTTTGTTTTGTATAAACCAGTTATTTTTACCTGACGCCATTAGTCAGTGGGCTTGTGGTGGCCCATGAGCAATTTTGGGTACATTCTTTGAAACTCTCAGGATCACTAGAGGATACCTCACGAAGTTCAAAACCACTTGATGCCATTTTTTTCTGACCCTTTTGTGGGCGTGGCCATGATTTTAAAAAGTGGGGGGCATCGCGCGTAATTTTTTTTTTTTAAATTTACTTTTCTTTTTCGCATTTGCACAGTTCACCCCAGTGCTACATCACAAGAAAAAAAAAATCCACAATTTTGCCTCTTTTGGGGGGGGGGGGGCAACATTTTAAAAAGTGGGGGTCACATGTCGCTAACAGAAAATCGACCTGTAAAATGCAATCTTGATGTTTTTTTTGTATTTGTTTTGTTTTTGTTTCAATCCATTATAATTTGGCGAGGAAAAAACGTTTACATGTCAACTAATAAATTCTTTGGCTCCCATTTGGGGGGCGTGTCACACTTTTTTTCATAAAAAGGGGGCATACGTGTATTCCAAAAGGAAGCTTGTGAGAGCCCATATGGATTATTGCACATTCTTTCAAACTCTCACAAACACCTATGGACACCTCAGCAAGTGAAAATCTGCTCCATCCTACTCCCCCCCCCATTGGCCATTAAAATGGCAGCCGTTTTTAACATATCTGGCATATTGTACACATATATGTACAAATGGACAAATAATCAATTTTATGAGACATTTATGTTTTTATATACAGTGAAATCTCGATAAAACAAACGTTGAGAGAATGGGCTCAAAATGTGAGCTAAGCTGAGTTTTGAGTCAAGCAGGGTTGTATATCACTGTTATACAACTGAAGGGAATAATTAGTCTTTGTTTGACTAATAACAGGAGGTTTGATTTATCAGAGGTTGACTTGTTGAGATTTCACTGTAGTTTATTTTGTCCTGACAACAATGCTTGTTTTATAACATACAAACTGCAATTTATTTATCTTCACTTCATTTATAAAAATGATATTATGAAATGTGGTACTCGATCATTGGAAACAAAGTTTGAAAATTACAAATTGCAATATTAAGAGTATAACTTGCCAAACTTAGGTGATTTAGTGAATCCTACATAAGTCACTTGTAATTTGACAACATATTTGGTATTTAATATCCATGACGTTATTTAGTAATAGAAAAGTGTGAGACTATATTGTCCATAGTTTCAAAATCCAGATCTGGATGGATAAGGCCCAAAAAAAAAGTCTCCGGTTTCTTGTATGGAGCTTGCCCAAAAAGTGGTGCGGCGACGGGGCTTTTTTTTTTTTACCTGATTTTTTTGCTTCAATCAATGTCGGCTGATGACTGCAAATGGTGTCCGACTAAACTTAGTGCAAATATATGGGAGTCCAGAGAGGCCACATAAAGCTTATTCTCGACCATAACCCCATCTAAAAATACGTTAAAATTGTGCACCAGCAGGATTC